GTGTATTAGTTTTATTTCTTTGAGTTTAGTGGCTGCATTAGAGTGACAAGTGAAGTTTATTATCTGCTCAAACACCAACAGATTACATTCGTAAGAGGATTTCTCTGCTTTAGATAGCATTCAGACAAGCTGTCTACATTATGAGAGGTTTTCTTTCCCTTTTTTAAGGAAGTGAGAGAATTCAGCTCCCATCCTGTGCTATGGAAAAGTTCATTGGTACAATGTGGTATTTATGCATATAATAATCAATGAGAGGGATTCCCCCCCAATCCTTAAAGATGGTTGATACAGTTTTCATAGTCTACGTAAGGAAAAGGTGCAACAGCTTTAGTAATATTTTGTAATGCTTAGTTTTTCATAAGCATTTAAAACATTCGAGACTATTTTTGAAACAAATCACTGTAGAATGATGTAGATGTTTCATGTTACTTATTCGATGTAATTCTCCACTTCCTAAGCTATATTCATAAAATTCTACTCATCCTTTCTTTGGAAGGAATCTTTACTTATCTTGCCAGGCTCTTTTTTGTTGTAATATGAGTCATTCACGAAATGATATTTTGTTTTCTTTCACAGAATATTGATAGTCATCTTAACTAAATGTTTATAAATTACTAAAATGATACAGAGGAGGTAATTTAGTGAATGGCAAAATGATTATATGCTTCCTTTTTCAAAAGCAAGTGGAATATGCAGATGTGGATTGTGAACAAAATAATTAAAATTATTATGTAGTGTTTTTAAATTAAAGAGATTCTGTCAGCGGAGCAAACACTTGGCAGTAGAACAGTATCTACACCTCTCACAGGTTTTTTATTAATGGCTCTTAATTTAAGCCTGTGCTTTGTTAAATCTCAAAGGCCATCATTCGAGTTCTCTCCTAACTTAGCTTTTTGTAGTTATTCGATTCAGTTTTTAACGTATATACAAAATTGTGTGCTATTGGTGTAGGAACAGACATCAGGAGACCTTAGGTCCCTTTCTGGCTTGTTTTGTTGCCTTTCTTGAAACTTCAGATGCTTTCCTGTTCCGTAGTCTTTTCCATTAGTCCAACTGAAATGCCATCCAAAATGTTTCCTGACATCAAGTGACTCTTGTGAGGTGTAATCTATTAATGTTAATTAAGGAGTCTGATAATCACAGGAGGAAGTTACTACAGTGCTACTGTTCATTTTATGGAAAATGCAAATATGCCTACTATATTCATTATCAGGGCTCATAGTATTTCCTTGTAGAAATTCTACTCATGTCTCTGGATGAGTTGTCATTTAAATTCCTTGGTGTTGTACCTCTGTTTTTATGACCAAGGTCAAAATGGTCAATTCCAAAAATTAATTTGTAATTATATAAAATGGTTGGAGGTATAGGTTGGTACTTAAGCATCTTTCAAGAGGTATGATACAGAGATACAGTATGTCATGGAGATAATATTTTTTTGAGCAATGGACAAAAAGTTGCATAGAGTACTAGGAGTCCTCAGTTAGAAACGATTGCTAGGTGATAGCTGTACTAGCCTGAAGCTGATAGACAACTCTCAAGTTATGGCCACTGTGACAGAGGTGATAGTCAAGGCTGTAGAGGTAAGGATCTATTCGTAAGGTGTCAAGGTGAGGAACGTGTCGGTGTAGGTGCTTGACTGCGTCAGATGGACAGAGCTGTGTTTGTTTAGGAGCCTGCTTGTTTCACTGGCCTCACCGCCTTCTTTGGTGGAGAAGAGTTACTCTAGTTCTTCTCCAGAACTTGCACAAAGTGTTATGGCCTGAGCTGGGGAGCTTCACCTCCACCACTTCACTTGCAGGGAGTTTTGCTGCAGACTACCAGACAGGCATCCCTCCCGACAGGGGCCTTCAGTGGTGAGCCTGAAAGCTGCTCTTCCAAGTGGAAGGACAGACTGGCTTCTTTGCTTCAGAATGTGGGATGATCTCGTGCATTCTGTAATACGTTTCAGATATTGTGGCACCTACAAAGCCAGGCCAGTCCAAGGCCTGAATTCTGCACAGTTTTTATGTTTTCTTATAGGGCCATACTCAGTTTCAGCAGAAATATGAACCTGCTGCATTCCACTGCTGGAACAGCAACAAAGGAAACCATATTTTTTGTTTTCTCTGTAGTTGAATTATTAGTAGCAGAGGACATAAAACTCTCTTCCAAGTGAAATATAACTTTATAGTTGAAATCAAATACGTTTCTTCTCGTGTGTCACCTGTCTATTACTGTTTTAGCTCTTACTCCTTGTAGGAGTTACTCTACTACTTAACACCTGATGAGGTTGATTTCTGCACTTTTCTTTAAATCTGTGAGGCAGTGCACAACAGACTGCTCTTTCTGGGTAAATATTTCATGAAACAGTGTAAGTATAGTAATACTACAAGTAGAAAAATAGTGAGCAGATAGGAGTCTGTGCCCAGTCTGCGCAGGATGTTTACTCCACTCTGACCGATGAATCTTCACTTTCCAGTACCTCTCAGCTTCTTTCTGCCACCGAGTCCCAATCGATGGATTATTTTTTTTCTTGCATATTAAGAATGTCCTTTTCTATCTAATTTAAATATGACAATTCAATCAATAAGATGTAGCCTTTTCTGTTCTTGCCTTTTCACAGGTCAAACCTAGGAGTAAACACAGAGAGTCAGATGTAGTTCAGCAGCATTTCTTTTCTTAACACATGCCAGTGTGAATTTTGATTAGAGAACGGCATTTTTGTTGTGTTAGTTTAAAAACAGCTTTCTATTTGAACACTTAAGATATTATACTTCTGATTTATTTAACTTACAATGCAGAGGAATGCAAAAACAAGTACAAGTATGTGTTGCACACCCATGTGAAAGAAAAATTTGTCAGCCTCAGCTTCTAGTCTTGAATTATCTTTAAATGAGGCTCCTATTGTCTTCCTTGTCAGCCCCCACATGAGTTTTGAAGCCACTCTGCCAGTAGCTGCATGGTCACCTATTCACAATTAACCATGTTTTAAGTTTTCCGTAAGTTTCACAGGGCAAAGAATGTTGTATTTCAACATTTTGTAGTTTCATTTTTGCAGGACGTGCACCAGGAGTAATAGTAATAATACAATAAATGGTGAGTGCAAGCACGCTCATAGGCGATTACTGCTGCATTTAAGCAACATGACTTCCTTCCTGGTTCTGCTTTTGGAGATAATACTGCTGGGGGGACTTCAGATATCTGGTTGTAAAATTCTTGATGATGCAGTAATATTTGTTGCCGTTACCATTTGAAGAAAAATATTTTGGGGAGGTCTCCAGATATTTGCCAGGTTGTGAGACGCTAAGCTCTTACAAGTTTTGATAATCCTCTGTGCCATGGTTGAATGGGAATTACCACTATTTGAGACATTTCTTTACTGCTTTTAGAAGACTGTTAATTTGTTTCATTCATCAGCTGGGTTGATTTTTTATCTGGAAGGTGTGGAGGTTTTTTCAGTCAGTTTTTTTTTTTTTTAGTCACACCATTGACTTGTCTCCAAAGTACCACCGAAAGGTTATATTAGGATCATGGGGTTTTTTGGGGAAGTCACTGTTTTTAAAAGAGGAGAAGAGAGGGTGGTATTATTATCATTATTAACATTATTATCATTATTAATATTAGTATTTAGTTATGTTGTATGGCCTTCAACTGTCTTCTGTCAGACAAGAAGATATTGCTCATCTGGCTTCAGAGAACTGGTCCAAGTCTTGACTAATTTAAAAGTGCAATGACAGCCAGCAGAAAATTCATCTCGGTGTAATTTCATCCCCTCTTGGTCCATTCAGCTGATCTGCTCTGTTGCTCTCTCCTTATATTAGCTAGAGGCATTTGTGGGATGATGGTGGTAGAAGCAGCAGTTAGCAGAAGCTGTAAAGCATTCAGATCCTCTCAGGATGTGTAGATTTTTTTTTCCAAGTTTTCTTCTTTTCATCAGGTGAAACAAGCCAACTCAAGTGTCCTGTTCAGCCTGTTACCCGGTGTTGGTATTGCTTATTATGGGTATACGTAAGATTTTAGGCACGTATTGCCAGGTTGTATTTCTTAACTTGATCTGCAATGGGTGAGGCTGTAGAAAGTGAAGTTGTTTTATCAGTCAACGTCTTGATCTTATAATGCCAGTCATGGGATTTTAAAAGCCAAAAAATATATTAAAAAAAAATCAAATCTAGGTTTGACTCAGTGCTGTAACAATGATAGTTTAAAATCCCACTCCCCACCAGGAATAATGCTGTAATGATTGCAGCTTTGTTTGGCTAACCCTAGTAATTCATTTTGCCAATTTTTTTCCTGTTTCTCTGAAAGTAAATAACATTGCTTATTTTCTTTCCAATTATTTTAGTTTGAGGAGAAGTATCTGAGCAAATCTCTAGTGACGTGCTTGTAAATCGTGTTCTGTCTCTATTAAGCAGTTTTCACATAATAAGGACTTTCTCTTACAGAAAGAATTGATGCCACTGTTTAAAAAAAAAAAGCCATGCTTCAAATTTTCTTCGTATACTTTTCTTGTCAGCAACAATATAAAAATATTTACTTTCTGCACTTGATGGTAACAATCTAAGATGAACTATCAATGGGCAGTTTTTGTGAGTTCCTATATATTGTGCCGAAAATGAGCATTTTCGCTTCTTAGTAATTTTGGGCAATCCTGTAATTTTTATTATTATCTGTCACTCATATACTTTTATGCTATTTTTGTGCATTCTGTGCTGGAAATTTTCTACGATATTCTTTTTCACCAGGATACTTTTCACACTTTGCCCCTGTGCATGTGATGCTTCATGCAGTTAAGGAGGACTAGAAATGTTCTCATCATTGCTGCTAGCTTCACTGGAAAATTAGTCTGTGGGCAGGCACAAGAAAGTAGTTTTAAGCATTTGACCTGGGGAGGGAAAGATAGAGGAAACTTTAAGATGGCCTTAAAGAAGAGAGAGCATTTTCCTGTATGTATGGGTAGCTGTGCATATTTTATATGCATATACAATATATATTTTTCGCATGCAAAGGGAGATGAAAAAAAATCTATAAAAATACTTATTTTGTGTGTGTGTGTGTATCTATGTCTTTAGATCTCCAACTGTAATTTGTTACTTGTCTTTGGCTGACAAAAATCTTAGGACAGTGACACCCAACTACAGAAGCACAAAGCTGAATAAGATGCAGACTTGTTTTCGTTTCTTCTTTGGATTTTAGTTTTGTTTTCCTACATATTGCAGTTTTGTAGAGTCATTTTCAAGGTGTAAATAATCTGAAGTACTGTCTTCTCTAACATGATGCAGATTGCTTTACCACCATGTTTTTTTGTGTGATTATCATGTGTGATATTGATTGCTACCTACACTCTCAATAAAGAATTAAAAGAATTAGAAGCTTTGGGTTTTATAACAGATAATAGAAACAGGTTCTTCCTATCTCTATGCTAAATTTGCATTTGGGCATCTTGAAAGAATCTGGATTCCCACTCAGGGGAAGCATCAGGGCCAAAACTGGAAGTCACTTTGTATTCCATGTATTCAGAGGTGTTTGGTGGAAATGATTTTCTTATGCGTTAGTTAAAGCAGAATCTTTAGTAAAAGAGGCATCTCATATACCATTCTGTGTTTTCCAGTTGAACAGATTTTTGTACTAAATCTGTGACTTTTTTTTTTTGTGGATAAGCTGGACAGTATCACAGAATTACTAAAAAATGTGTGGTATGGCACTTTATTTCACTTTATATATAAGGACATGACTTTATTTCATAGATTTCAGAAAAAGAGAAAAACTGGTGGTCTTCAGGGTAGCCTATAGTATTTTTTAGTATGTAACATTTCTGTATTGTCTAGGTTTGTAATTTTGTAGTCTAAAGGAAAGTAATGTTTTCTTCCCACTGGTAGATTTCAGAAGTGTAAAGATCTCACTTGTGATTCAGATGAAGACAGGCACATATCACTGACCCAGCTTGGCCCATGCTACATCACCCTGTGCCTGGTTAGCCTGAATTCGTCAGGTTGTGTGGGGCAAGTTCTGCCTGGTGTCCAGGCAGTGCCCTGCAGAGGTGGCCTGCGCACGTAGCGCTGCGCTGCTGACCACCCTCAGGACAGGCTGAGGGTGGAAGCAGGCTTGGTCTCACTTTTCAGCTTCAGAGCACGTTCTTCTTCATTACAATAATAACCACTTTCTCCCCAGAGAAATTAAAATTGGTCAGTATGTAACATCGTGCTTGATTTTCTGGGAATGTGTGTGTAAGGAAGATTTGTGTTAGAAGGCTTGTTTTATGCGTAGGGGAAATGGGACTGAAGGTTTCAAAACAATGCTCATGGTAAAGGCAAAAGCTTTTACAGGCTTCCAGCTTAGATTTTTGCAGTGTGTATTATCTCAGAAACGCTTAAGGGTTGTTCCTTTACCCTTGCACTGCAGTGCTGTGAAACACAGTTCTCTGAGAAGACACCTAAAACATTATCTAAGGGGCATAAGGCTGCCATTGTCCTGGGACATGAGTATTATGGCATGAGGCACGAAAGCTTCACAGAAATGATTAAAATAAAACCGAGGCTGAAAGGCTGACAAGCACAGTGCTGAGCAGTGCACCCTGGTGCATGTGTTTTGTTTCCTGCAGGGCTGAGTAGGTGGGTGAACGCAGGGTTTAGGTGGCTTTACAACTGCTCATTCTAAATTTCAACTCCTCCTCTTAAGCAAACACAGGAATAATACAGATAAGCTCATCTAGTCACAGAGGATGAGCTCACTGAATTGGAGAAAATGAAAAACGTGTGACGTAGCCTGTGTGATATTTCCAACAAGCAGATCTTAACTTTAAATTGACAAATAGTCAGAAATGTTCATTAACAAACTACTTCTAGTGCAAAGTACAAAGACACGAAGAAATTTGAAGAAAGGAAGGAATGACTGCCCATTAATGAATATGAGCCGAATTTTAATTGAGTGATATCACATGTTTCTGAGGTTAAAATTTGCAAGGCTGTAATTGTTATGCTACTTGCTTTTTTTTTTAAAAAAAAAAGAAAACAAAACAAAAAACCCAAACCAAAAAACAAACATATCTATTGGCTTTACAGTGCCTACCATAATGTCCTGAAAGTTGGCCAAGGAAGATAATCTTTTTTTTCTTATTTCCTGAATTGTTGTGATAAAATGTCTCATAATAATTACCTGAAGTTAGCTGTTTCGAACAATTGTATCTTCAAGAATGGAAGATTTTTAAATATGCAGCCATATTATGTGTATATTTTGGAGTTTTGTTTTACTCATTAGTTGTTAAATGAAGATGCAAGTTTTAATTCAGTGGTACTTCAGTTGCTACTGATGCTGCTGTTTGACACTGAACTTGCAAGCACCACTTGACACTGTTCAACCCTGCCCTAAACAAGCTGTCAGCATTGTGCAAAAAAAGTCGTGTTTGTGTCCAGTGGCTAAAGCATATCCTTCTTATTTGTCTTGCAGGCACAGGAGAGAGTGGCAAAAGCACGTTTATCAAGCAGATGAGAATCATTCATGGATCAGGTTACTCTGATGAAGACAAAAGGGGCTTTACAAAACTGGTGTACCAGAATATATTTACAGCAATGCAGGCCATGATCAGAGCCATGGATACACTCAAAATCCCATACAAGTATGAACATAACAAGGTGAGATTTTTGTTTATTTCTGTAGCTGAAGCTTTTCCTATTTTTATTTTAGGAAATATACTGAAGGTCTCAAAAAAAATTACACATCACACAAATTACAGTCAAAGCTCAGAAGAAAAGGGCATCTTCCTGTCCTGCCTTTAGTTCTCTGCCCTTTTTGCTGCTTTGACAACACAAAGGTGCTGATTTTAACAAGAGAGCTGCTCTTCACAAGATGCCTGGGGGGTTTGTCACCGGCCGAGGTTTGATGGCAGGCTGCTGTTTGACTGTGACTTTAGTTACCCCTTGTCTTTTCCTCCCAGGCCATTCCCTGGCTAGAGCACAGTTAAGCCATTCTTCTGATCTGTAGCAGGACCCTACTGCTTAAGGTTTGCCGTTAACATTACATGTGGGAAAAAAAATCAAATTATTAGAAAAATAGGTGGGGATATCTGTTTGTGTATGAACATATTGTGAAATAAAAGTCTCAACACAAGACCTTAAAACAGTCAGACTCTTCTGAGATTGATGCTGTGATTGAAATGTAAAAAGACAAAATACATTTTAAATGTTTGGAAGGTTCATCTCTGCCTAGCCTGACTTCTTTCCCTTTTTTTTTGGTATTTACATTTTAAAAGAAAGATAAGTAAAATAATTCAAGTATTCCACAAAGGAGAGTAAAATGCTTAATATTTATTTGAATACACAGTAAGGCACAGGATTGCATGGCTACTCTCCCACTTCCTCTCACAGGAGTGGAAGGACTTTGTTTGATAACAGTTCTTGAACTTGTTCTGATTTTTACTGTTGAGCCAGTATCAGCAACTTTGTCAGGTGGAGAGTTTAAGGTCTCTCACAAGTGGAGGGCTTACCTTGCTTTCAAACTTGTGAGAAAAGTATTTAATGATAAACTAGTAATCCCGGATGGAAGTAATGATTTAGTAATCCTGGATGAAAATAATAGTTTCTATAATTATTACACAAAAGTTCTTTTATTCCATTATTTTTTTAAATATCAGAAACTATCAAAGAGCAGGGATATTTGCGATAAAGAAGTAAGCTAACTGGGGAAGACAGGATGAAATAAACTTGTTAAGATGAAAATTTTTGTGTCTACATATATGGAGTTTAATTACCAGAACTGAACGGCTGTACATGTTTTAAGGCATCCAATTCAGAAGTAGGAAAGATAAAACTTATTACTAGGTTAAAGAATCTTTGTTTCTCCATTTGCATCTGCCGTAGTCATTGCAGTTTGTCATCACGTTGTCTGTGACATAATGTTGCCTTAACCAGAGTCTTGCAGGAGCCTGGGTTTGTGCAGTGGGAAGTCAGGAGGATCCTGTCTGTCAAAATCCATATTGTTAACTTTCTTTAATGGTGGGTGGGGTTTTTTGTGCACATGAAAAAGTTTGAAAAACTTGGGCTAGTTGGTAAAAGAGACTGTTGAACTTCCTAGTTTGACTGTGTGCTGGAGCAGTCTTGTTTCCTCTCATCCCTCACAAATCAAAATCAAATGTGTAGTTAGTATTAAACAGAAAGCTGCATTTGTATATGTATTTCAGCCGTTTGGCTCCATGTTTTTGCTGTGAATAAAGCATACAGCATACTGATGTGAAAAGTTAGTTGATTGTCAAGTGCAATCACTTTTTCTTCAAAATTGGTATTTACTGTCACTTTGCCATAGTATCCTGGAAGTCCTGATTGTAAATCAGGGATCTCTTTC